GCAAAGGGCAAGCTTGCATGCAGACTGTAGGGGAGGTGTCCAAGCAGGGGTCTTCCTTTAACACATCTTTCACAGACTAACATGGACACAACCAGAATGTCTATACGCTATGGAAGAAGACGGCGACAATGCATTGTTGCTAGCTGTTGACGTGTTTCACACGTCCATTTCTTCTTTTTTTTGTGTGTGTGTCGCTCAGTTAAGTCTCAGCTAACATTCACTTCCTGTGAGTAGCAAGAAGCTGAATGTAGAGAAAAGAAGCTATCAAGCTGTCTGTATTCATATGACAGATGACTTACTTATTGCTTCCAGATAGCCCGCCCTACCCCCCCCGCCCTCCCCCCTCTTCCCGTGCCGCGGACATTGATGATTGTCCATGTGCTTGCTGAGGTGGATAATATCCACTCCACAAAATGATGGACACCTCAATACCCGCAACAAAACAGCACAGTTGGCATGCCTTCTGCTTTGGGCCTTTTGCTGCTTGAAAGCGAGCCCAGCGACAACTAACTGCTCACACTAAATGCTATGTGGCTCACCATCTTTTTTTTTTTTTTTTTTTTTTTTTTTTTTGCTTGCTATGTGGCTTACCATTTATGATATGGTATTTACAAGGACACAATGCTTTTCCTACCGCGGGTTTGCTGGCACCGGCCTCGGCGGTGCAAAAGCAGGTTGAGCACGCACAATATCTGCAGCAGCACGTGCATTGGGCACTTCGTTTCCGCACCTGAGCAAGAGTACGTTTGGAGAACAAAGAACAGGGCTTGTCCTGCCAACCCTTGGCGGGGGGTCTACAACCCAATTCGTCAAGACAAGATCTGTGGAGAGATGAAGTCTCATGCATGTGCACGATAAGATACACGGGATGCGGATGGCCTTCATACAGACGGAGAGCCCACCGAGGACACGTACAGTAAAGGATGGCTTATGAAGAGGACACAACCAGCCAAGAAAGATGGACGCCGAAGACGCTCGTTGTGCTCCTCGACGTCGCCATCACAGACCCTTGGAAGCAAGGATGCATGAGCTGAAGAGAACCGCCGAAGATGCTCGTTGTGCTCGTCGATGTCGCCATCACAGACCCTTGGAAGCAATGAGATCAACGGTGGATGGGTGAACATTGGTTGACCCATCAACGGAGCCAGCCAATGTGATCAATGGTGGATGGGTGAACATCCCATAGACGCCGCCACGTGGCTTGTGGAACCGGTAACCCATAATAAAACACGAGCGCCGTCAAGAATTGCTGATGAAGATGAACAGAACCAACCAGGGAGGCCAGATACATCGTGAATGAAGTCCCCTCCATTCCTTGCCAGGGGTTAGTTTCAACCCTGAGGGGATGGGCTCAACCCTGAGGGGACAGGCTCAACCCATAACCCTTAGCGTAGCTCAGTCTTAGTGGGTAGATTTAGGGTAGCACATTTACCGTACCTATAGGTTGCTCTGTCGTCCACTGTAGGATAGCTCTTAGCTGGTAGACTTAAAGGGGTAGTGACTCTAGTGAGTGGCCTTTTGCTATAGTCGAGGACCCTATAACCCAAGTACATAGCTCGGCGTAGGTAGTACAGTAGCATAGCTCTTAGCTGGTAGACTTAAAGGGGTAGTAAATATAGATGGCCTCCTGCTATAGCCTAGGACCCTATAACCCAAGTACATAGCTCGGGGTAGGTAGTACTGTAGGATAGGATAGCTCTGGCCTCCTGCTATAGTCGACGACCCTAACCCAAGTACATAGAAAAGCAGCAGTTCCCCATATGATGAGGAGAAGACAGCTTGCATTTTTGTCCTTCAACAAAAACAAAAAGACAAAAAAAAAAGGGCAGCACCCAGGTGTATGTGGTATGTAGGGTATATGGGCTGGGTTAAGAGGAAGTGGTGCGTGGGTATGGGATGTTTCCCGGTGGTTTCCGGACGGTAGGAGGGGGAGGGGGTAATTGGGCATTGGGGAGAGGAAGAGGAAGGTCAGATGCACAAAGAACCCTTGAAGACGCTCGCAGTGCTCGTTGCTCTTGCGCTCACAAAGCCGTCCACCATAGCTGTGCACGTTGCGCTTGGGGTACATCCCATGCTAGTCAACATTCACTGCATGCATTTGGACACCTGATGGACCAAGTGCATTCAAAGGAGTCACCAACATTTTGAATGTATCCGGACGATCATGAGCTCCAGATAGATATGCAGCCGTGCATGTGGAGCGAGGAACGTAGCCAGAACGGACGATGGCGGGGGTAGGGCTGCATGCATTAGGACACCTGATGGACCAAGTGCATTCAAAGGAGTCACCAACATTTTGAATGCATCCGGACGATCATGAGCTCCAGATAGATATGGAGCGGTGTGTGTGGAGCGAGGAACGTAGTCAGAACGGACGATGGCGGGGGTAGGGCTCACTGCACTTATCTATCTGGAGCTCATGATCGTCCGGATACATTCAAAATATTGGTGACTCCTTTGAATGCACTTGGTCCATCAGGTGTCCTAATGCATGCAGTGAATGTTGACTACCGTCTTCCCCCGAACACAACGCACCCTTATTTTGGCTGTATCTGGCCGGAAATATAGCTCGTATACATTCATTTTTAGGGTGCGTTATGTTCGGGGGAAGACGGTAGTGCAGTGAGCCCTACCCCCCCACCGTTGTCCGTTCTGACAAAGTACCTCGCTCCACTACACACCACTGCACTTATCTATCTCTAGCTCATGATCGTCCGGCTACATTCAAAATGTTGGTGACTCCTTTGAATGCACTTGGTCCAGTCAGGTGTCCAAATGCATGCAGTGTATTTGCTGTGTGCTCCCTGCCTGTTTCCACTCTGCTGCAGTGATGGTTCTCGTTGCTCCTTTTCCACCAATCGGTGAAAGCTGCCGTGTAATGTTCACACCTTTACGTCCGAACACGTATTTGGCCAAAGGGGTTGACCAAGTTGTGGAAGGCGCACTCGCTATTATTATAAGCGCAGATTTGTCAAAGAAAATGACTTCAAAATTACTCATGGTAACGAGCGATCAGACCCGATCAACAAGCGATCAGACCCGATCGACAAGCGATCAGAACCGATCGACAAGCAGTTCTCGTCATCAGTAATGCAGTCCAGACCCCTCATAACCACATGAGCCATGCAGGAGTAGGGGTCAGAATGACTCTTTCTATAGGCCACGTGACGACGACCCCAGTTGATTCTGCATGTAGTCCATGCACGGTGGGTGACAAGCCGCCAAAAAACTGGCCCCTTAACTGCGCAAAAGATGAAGGAGCTCCACCCACTCCGGCAGAGCTATCCTCTGCCAAGGCTAGAAGTGGTCCCCACGTCCTAGGATTCTGAACTCCATCCTGCCCCCAAGGGTCACGACTGCCTAAAGGAACTGTCCCACAGACGGAAGCGCCAATTCCCCCCCAGTTGGAACTGTCACCCAGTTGGAAGTGTCACCCAGTTGGAATTGTCACCCAGTTGGGATTGTCACCTGCAAGGCCCATAACTGACGAAAGGAGCTGTCCCACATACAGAAGCACGAGTTCTCGAGGTGGAACTGTCACCCAGATGGAATCGGCAACCGTAAGGGCCACAACTGACAAAAGGAGCTGTCCCACAGATAGAAGCAACAGTTCTTGAGGTGGAACTGTGTCCCAGTTGGAAGTGTCACCCAGTTGGAACTGCCACCCAGTTGGAACTGTCACCCAGATGGAACTGTAACCCAGATGGAATTGGCACCCGTAAGGGCCAGAACTGACAAAAGGAGTTGTCCCACAGACAGAAGCAACGGTTCTTGAGGTGGAAGTGTCACCCAGTTGGAATTGTCACTTTGTCACCTGCAAGGCCCACAACGGACGAAAGGACCTGTCCCACAGATGGAAGCGAGAGTTCTTGAGGTGGAACTGTCACCCAGATGGAATCGGTACCTGCAAGGGCCACAACTGACGAAAGGAGCCGTCCCACAGACAGAAGCAACGTCCTTATGCCCTTCC